TGATTGTCCAAGAGGAAAGGGTGCTGCAGCAGCCCCGGAGAGGGGGCTGCAAGGTGATGGATGCAGCATGGCCCCCGCTGCTTCAGCCATTCATCAAGGACTGCAAAGTGTCAGAGGAGAGCTTTGGGAGAAGACGGATAAGGAATTTGAGTCTCCAGCAGTATGAGATAGAGCAGGCAGGCCACAAGAGGGGTTAATCTCTCCAAACAAACAGCTGGGGAAACAGGGCTCTGCAAATTACTCCCTCCTGTGGGAATTCTCCAGACAGAGCTGAAGTTATCCTGGGGAGTAAGGAGCCGAAAACAATGAAGCAGAGGGATTTCAACCCACAAAATGGTTGAGGCTCCTCTTGAGCCAAAGGCTGTTACTGGATCTAAAGCACACTTGAGGTGCAGAGAACCCAAAACACATCACCCTGCCGATCACAGCCATGAACCAAGCCAGATATTTCAAGAGTGGAAAACCGGCTGTGCCTCTCACTTTACCCTGAAGAACTCCCCACCACTCTCCCCCCACCCCACAGCTTCGGAAAGAATTCACTTCTCTGCACCTTTCAAATCACATCCAGATTTTCCCTGGCACGGGTTCCAAACTCACTTTAAAAAAAAGGCAGCCCCAAATGTACACATAATTAATCCCAGCCCACGGAGCAGCCAGCTACGTGGGCTATTCCTAGGAAGGGGAAGCCGGCGTGGGAGACAGTGTTTCCAGGAGCCCTGCACTCAGCATCTGTTTGGCAAAGTCCTTCACTGTGCACATACCCTGGTGAAAAGGAGGGGGACCAAGCAAAGTGCCTCCAGGGCTGTCCTGGGTACAGCATAAGCACAGAGTCCCATATGTTGTGAAATGAGGCCAAATTAAACAGTGCTGCCACCAAGACAACCCCTTACACTCTCATGGGTTGAGATCCTGCTGAAGTCGAAGCAAAATGTTCCCAGGGCCACTGCTTCCATGGCCTACAGTGCCATGCAATGGAGAAAAACTTAAAGTAGTTGGTTTAAAGACAGCTCAAAGGTCAGAAGCAGAGCAGTTGCTTCAGTACAGCACTCTGCCGGGGGTCATGCTGTCTGCACATCAGCAGGGACAGCTGGAAACCTACAGAAAAGGCAACCCTACCGATTATGGGCTGCAAGCTAGCCTGGGACTGTCCACAAACAGAGCTACAGCAGAGATGTCCATCCTGCTAGAGTGGAAAATAGTAATTAGGACCTTTGCCCCATCTCCAGCTCTGATGAAGATGCAGTAGGACTGGGGAAAGCTGGTCCTGTAGCTGGAAAAGGGATGAGTTGTTCTTCACCTCCTTCACGGGGCCTCTGTGGAGAGCTATTAGCATCCCCACAGTTGTTGTGGGAGAAAAGCCCCAAAGGATGTGGGCAGCACTGATGCCCATGCCGAGTAGGTCAGCAGGCTGGGGAGGGAGTAGAAAGGAGGCACCATTCTGCTTTTGAAAATGATCTCACCAAAACCCTTTTCTCCTCCTCCCTTCTTGGGCGTTTGCTATTGTCTGTAGCTAAAGCTTCCTAAAAAGCAATTTTACAGCCAAAGTTAGCTCAGCCTCAGGCAACCCCTCCTTGCCGAGGCTCACGTTTCCAGTGAAGCAGACTGGCCAGGATCTGCTCCAGGCCACTCGGGCTGTACGAAGTTTGGAAGGCTCCACTCTCCTTATAAAAGCTGTTTCCTGAAAGATCTGGCACAGCCCTTACACAGCGGGCCCAACTGAGCTCATTTGTTTTCTTAGTTCATTCTTTCCTGGGGTCTCCATACCATCATCTCCCAGCCAACAAGCACGTAACCCTTAGTGTGGTCTTCTGCAGGCAAGGACAGAGCTGCCCGGCACGATGTCCCCTGGGCTGGGCAGTGACAGGTCTCTTCTCTCTTGCCAGCTGCTCCTGACTCTGCTCCAGGGACCACGGCTGATGCCACACACGGGCTGGGTGCCACCAGAGATGTTTCATGGGGCCATCCCCAGCACCACATGGAGCTGGGCAGGCTGTACCAGTGGCTTAAAGCCAGCAAAAGTAGCCAAGAGTCCACTTCAAATTCCCCTATATGGTGGCAGAGGCTTTTCAGGCACGGTGCAGGAGCGCTGCAATGCCCTGCCAGGCCAACCGAGACCCCACCAAGCTGTGATATGGGATGAGTGTGGTGCCAACTCCTGGGAAGGGACAACCCTCAGCCCCAAACACTAAGAGCAATTGCTCTGCTCCCCTTTGGAGAGCCCAGCTTTATGACTCCAGAAGAGCCGTGTGGGCTGAAGAGACCTGCACTTACAAAAGCATTTTCTGATACCATCAGAGAGCTACTTTAAAAGACCCAGAGTCTCCAGAAATTTCCAAGAAGTCAAATCCTCGAAGCAAACATTAACAAAACAAAGCAACACAAAGCAAACAGAGTTCCTGTGGGCTGGATGTTGTAACTACGGAGTCATCACAGAGCTCTCTTCCCATTCCAGGAAACCAGCCTGACAGACAAACCCAGATGGCACCTCCTCAGGTTGTGGTGGTGACCCTGAGTTTGGGACACTTAGGGGTTTGTTAAGAAAGCCAGAGCTGCAGGAGGCACAAGGTTGTAGGAGACATTTTTGAGAACTGCAGTGGCCACAATGTCTAATGTTACTCTACAACGGGCTTCCCAGAAAGCGGTGTGCTTGCTTTCAGTAAGCCACTGGAGCCAAATCTCCGCTGGTAATGAAATTCAGATGCTAAAAATGTTGCTCAAAATGGGATTGGGAGCAAACTACAGTACTCAGTGAAGCTGAACATAATCAAAACCCCAGCAAGTTTGAGCATACTAGAGCCACGTTTTGCAGAGACAGAGACACAGGCTGTTTGCACCGAGCTCACCTGGATGGAGAGAGACACAGTTTGGGTTCAGCTGTAAGGAACAAATCCCATTGCCATCCCAAACTGGGAAGGCCAAGAACCTCCCTCTAGTACAGCCAGCAACTAGTAACAGAGTCTTCCCTTACCCCCAGGTGAAGTCTTCTTTCAGAAGCTGACACAGCTTGCAAGCCACCCTGGTATGGCTCATCGTCCTGCTCCGGAGAAAGCCACCAGCTCCTCACTGCTCTGGGATGTGCAGCAAAGGCAGGAGGGCAAAGGGAACGTCATTCCCTCTTCTTAATAACACAACTTCCCTGAAGCAAGAGGATTTCTGAAGCTGCACTGTGAGGACAGGCAGATACAAGATTACCTGTCTTTGTAGTGGCTACCTCCTGCTTGGAGGTAGGACACCATCCCGTGCTGGGACCTTCTCACCACAAATACCCCTTACCCTGTGCTGGCATCTGAAAGTACAAGTGGTAAAGCCACAGGCGCCAGCTGCTACGCATCAATAGCCTCTCTCTTCTTAGCTATCACAAGCCACTGCAGAAATGAAATGTCAAGAAAAATTTCTGGAAGAAGCATGGACTAGTGTTTTTCCAAGTCAACGTGTGGCTACCTCTGAAAATGGTGTCATTTAATCCTGTTGCAAAAATGGGACCAGAGCAAAAGGACAAATGTCTCTGCAGAGGACGCTCACAAATGCAAATGCACAAGCTCCTCTACTAGAGGACGGTCATCCTAACTCCTCACGATTGCTTCCTTACACAAGAGCCAGGCTTAATTTTCCAGAAACTTCAACTCCCTTTTTCCTCCAGTGGAAATCCCAGTGACATGCCTTTTAGCGAAGGGAAACTATTTCAACACCAAGAAGAAGACACGAATATTGATGATTGTGCTGCCAGAAGCAGTGCTCTGACCAGGCTTCCCGCGCCCCATCGCTGCCTTCCAAAAATAGCAGCATTTTGGTGGGAATTTTCTGCAACCGCAGCACGGCCAAACCGTATGTCCAATTTTTCCAAGTTATGCCCTTTGCCAATTTGGCTCCCATTTTTCCTCCCCACTCCTTGCTGGCAGGAATACTTGTACAGCAAGGGCTTTTCTGCTGTATTAACGTCAGGTGTGCTTTGCTTTTGCTGATGTTACAACACAAGGACAAGCCAGAATCAGAAATCCCTCTACGGGAAACCCCGACAAGACTCTCTTGCTCAGAAAGGGGCGCAAATGATTTTCTTCACGCCAGTCAGAGGAAATTAAAGCCCACTAAATGCCTTTATGTTTCTAGAAAAGCCAGGAGGCAGAGCGTAGCACGGCACAAAGGGCTGCACTAAATGGACCTGACAGTCACTGGAAGTGATTATGGTACCGTGACATTTCTCAGTATGCCCATTAGCTACTTGGGGGTGGGGGCAAAGACAACTCTGTGGTCAAAGCCATTAGCTATGGGTGCATGGAAGACTCCCAGGGCCCCCCCTCAGGCTGGTTATTTTTGCAAGGCACATTAGAGTTCTTTTTTTTTTTTTCCCCCGTGGCAGCAGCAGCAAAGGGCAGCCACAAGCAATCCCCTGCACCACGAGGCTTGCCACGGACCACGGCATCCGTCCCTCGGGCACACAAACGCTCAGCTGCACGTCGGGGTGGCAGGGCACACGTCATGCCACAGAAATCCTGGCTTCAAGCAACCATCCCAGAACATGCCGGGAGGAAGCCAAAAGGCTGTCAATCAGCTTTATTTAAAGTGTGGAATTCAATTGTTATTTCCTTCTCTCTGGACAGCCTTTTGAGTCGCACGGGACAGGAAAAACAGCGTACGAGCAGTGCCTGGGGAGCCTCACACCGTCCTCAGCCCTGAGCCATGCTGGCCAGGCCCCTTCCAAAAACCAGCTGGCTTCTGCAGGGTTGCTCCTGGCAGAAGCTGCACAAGGGGGGCTGCTTAGCAGAAGTCCCCCACTACTGATTTCTGGAGGGAGAAAGACTGACCAAGGGGTTTAACACTCGCCGGGCACATTGCTAACAAATACAGATGTTTTAATGGACACGGCGCAGGCCAAGGACTTGCTATCACTCAGATGGTTCAGGAGATAAGAGCTAAAGCACCTGTGTGCTCACACACAGACTGGGAACAAGCTCCTGCCATGCCAAAACCAGCATGGTTTTTGCTGGAGACCACTCGCCTACCTGGCAAAAAGGGGATGATCCTTTGCTTGGGGTCCTTCTGCCCTCCTTCCATCGGAAACTTGTCCAGCATTTGCATCTAGAAAAGAAAACGCAAGAGAAGTGATGAAAGTCAGTGGTTAACTTGCACAAGGCAAGACCACCCTCCCCAGGAGGAGGTGAAGCTCGTTCTCCAAACCAGCAGTGTCCTGAGACACCGTTCACAGTGCCATCAGCCAGGGTACAGTGACCTGCAGCACCGAGGGAAGCACACCCAAAGCAGTGCCAGAAGCACAAGATCTTAGCGTCATCTCCACTGTTTTCAAGACATTTCTCACCACCGATGTTGCCTATCACTACCATTCTTCTCAGCATGTGGGATTTACATAACCTGCACTTCTGCAAATATTAAGTTTCATCCTGATGGACCTTGGCCACTAGATCTCAGAAGCTCCTCAAAAAAGGCAAATTTTAAGCTTATTAGCTCAAACATAGCACAGCACTGACACAGTTCCTGGATCACTGCTGACTTGGACTCACAACACCAACCCATGTTTGCCTGCAAAAGGCCATAAAGTTTTACGTCAAGTTTGGGGAACGCTGTGTGCTACACAGGCTGTGAGGGATGAATGTTTTATGGGATCTTTAGCATTAAACAAGTAATTTCCTGACTGATGTAACAACACTCAGTGCATTTAGTCAGCAAAGAGAGGAGGTAATCAACTCCTGCTCTTGCTGGGTGCCTGCACTGGTGCTTCAGCACATGCACACAACTTCCTTGCAGCTGCTGTGATGCTTAATAATGATGCCCTGGCAGGATTCATGTCCTCAGCATTTCCTTTACTTGGTCTTGCTGGAAAACACCATTTGGACTGCGCTTTTCACTTTATGCAGAGCAGAAGAGGAAAAAGAGCATGCCCAGCCATCCACCCAACCACTCAGATATTCCCTCCTTTGGAAGGAAGGGGAGAGAGATGCAAACTCTCCCTTGTTTTCTCTGGAGCATGGATGTGAGCTCTGTCTCCCATCACTTGAAGAGCTCCCCAGTCCCCAGGGTATTTGAAATGGGTCTTACCCTTTCCTATTGGAGCTATCGCACTCTGCATAAATAGTTAAGTGCTTATGGAAGCACTGGAGACAACCTGCCCAGGAAGTGTCCTGAGCACCTACAAAGTCTGAGAAGCTATCCTCCTCTGGCCCAATTAATATTTAAAGTATTTCATTTAAAGAGGAAACTTTGCAACTGGAGAGCCCGAGCCATTCTTCCCATGAGAGGCACTTGTGGGCAGCCCTTGCCCAGCCGGGCAGAAGGACAGGCACCACCGAGCAGCCAGACACACAACCATGATCCCTCCTCTGGAGTCCATGCAGGGCCAACCTCTGGGGTCCCAACACCCCCTGGAGATGTGTCCCACCTAACTCCCTGCTTTTCATGGCTTTTGTTCTTTGGAATCTATTTTCCACATACTTTTCACAGGAGGTGTCTACTCCAATCTAAGTAGGCTGTAGACTACTGCTAGGCATGAGCTTGTTTAAAGTGCTGTAATGCTAAAGCTAAGCCCTTTTTTTTTTTTTATATAGCCCTCCCCATCCCTGCACATGCAATACTTGCAATTTTTTTTTCTTGGATGTCAAATACGCTGGGATAAAATTCTTGAGGTTTGGTGGAGAGGGGGCAGAAAGGAGGAGGTATTTTTCCTACATTTTCAGAAGAAATAAAAACCTCCCCCAACACTCCCAAAGACAACAGGAAAACCGAAAAGAAGCTCTCAAATATTCTCTTCAGAATGAAAACAAGGCCACTCAAAACCAGGACGACACTAAGCACAAACGGACCCCGTTTGCAGCTTCGTCTCAAAACAAGTTGCAAAGGGCTTTACAACAAAGAAAATGACTCCAGACCCAGCAATAACCGGGGGCTGCAGTGATGTGACCAGCAGCCGCAGAGCGAGCCCCAGCACGGCCGAGGGGGGACTCGCCTCCCCGAGGCACCACGGGCTCCCAGGGCAGCACCACCTCCCCGGGCACACAACGGCCTCCTGCTCTGCCCTCAATCCACCAAAATAAAGGATGACACCACATCCCCATTATCCTGCGAAACCACCGTGCTGTGCCACGGCGGAGAGATGCCTCTGGCCCCGCTCCTCCTGTTGGGAAGAGCTGGGGAAGGCTTGTGACCGGCGAAGGGTGAGCAAAACAAGTCGCAAACGCCGCACATCTGATTGCTGTTAAGCAACGCAATACTTGAGTCACTGGAAGCTTTCCCCTCCTCTCGGGTTTGAAGGCGAGCTGAGGATCTCTCCCTGCTGGGAGCGCTGAGAGCCTCCAAGACGCAAATGGTGCAAGCTGTGTTTTCTCCCGTACGCACGTGCCTGGGCTGTGCCTCTGGCCAGATCTGCTCCCCACCATGTGATCCCCACCAAACCTGGCCAGAACTTCAGCCCAGAACTTCTCCATTTCCTTTTGCTTGACTGAAAGTGCCTCTTGCAGTGGCTGCGCAATGAGTAGGAGGTGGCACGGGGACCTTCTCCCTGCAGCCACCCTGTTCCCCTCCAGCCTGGAGCCACCAGCATCACCCCAGCCAGACCAGACCCTACACTCCCTGCTGTGGGTTGGCAGCATTATCCCTATGCACTTACTGACTGCTGTCTCTTCTCTTGCTGGAAGGAAGAAAAGAGGTGACAAGGTGCCTGGAGCACCCTCTGGCATGCATAGAAAGAGGAGAAGGCAGGGAAGGAGCAAGGAGGAAGAGTCGGTCCCATGGATCCCACCCAGCCTGGCTGCCACATCATGCAGCTCTGGAGAAGGCAGCAGCAAATACTAGTTCATCAGTTTTACTAGGCATAAGCCTGTGGTTGAAGAACAGCTAAAAAACCCACTCCAAAGAAAACAACCCCAGCGCCGGCTGTGGCCACGGCAGGCAGTGTGCCTTAGGAAGATACAAGAGCACACGTCTGCAGAAATCCAGTCCCTGGGTCACGGGCTGGTGGTTCTTCCGTAGCAGTACATGCTGCAGAGCCACAGGGAGGAACAGCACAGAGCAGCGATGGGAAAAGGTCAGGTCCGGAGCTGAGAGATCCTCCAGAGACCCGGAGGAAGCCAGCTGGCAGGTCTCTAGGTTCTGAGGCTCCCCGTACGCTTTCTGGCCCATCTTGCTCCCGCTGGTTTTGCAGGAACGGGACTACGGCACAAGTTGTAACAGTGCTCTTCCCCAGGAAAGCCAAGGAGAGCAGGCACAGCCGTGGAAAAGGGATGGAAAAAGGGTAAAAGAGCAGCAACCCCACAAGCCCTGGGGGACGGATGCACGGACAGGCATCAGAAGACGGTCTGCAGAAACAGAGGCACGCCAGTGACAGTGCAGGTCTCCTAGGAGAGCAGCCCTTCTCCCTGGCATCAACAAGGAACTGCAGTCCCCAGCAGACAAGGGAGGCAGTTGGCATGGGGAGACTCCCACAAATCATCTCAGCAGCAAGGGTTTCCATCCAAGCTCCAAACAGGATGGCTCACGTCGTATTCCCAGAAGGGAGGACTTGCCCGGCCATCCAAGGTCCTGGGGAGATGGGGCAGGCGAGTGGCAGACAGACACACAGCCCTGCGGAGCACGGGAGAGCACAGAGAGGCCAAGAGCCAGTCTGGCTCTCAGCAACACACTCAGCCAGGTCGGGAAAAAAAAAGTAGGAAAAAAGAAACAATAACTCTATTGTTTCTCCCCTTCCAAGATTATTTTTAAGTGTTTATGACAGAATCTTAAAAAAAAAAAAAAGAACGGAGCAAATGCAGTTTAAAGCATTTTGGTTTGCTTTTGTTATGCAGGAAGCTGTTGTCTCATACTTTTTGCCAATTCCTTCGCCGTGCTGCTGGAGGGGAGGGTGATCACACACTTCCCTATGCCAGGACCAGGACATGGATGCCCCAGTGGTGTCTCCAACCCACAGCAGGGCTCCCCAAAACAGCGCGTCAGGATACAGCGCGTTAATCCACATCTATCTCCACCACCAATTTATCTTATCAATGAGCTGTTTGTCTTATTAACCCAGAAACGTCTGTGCCGTGAGTCTTTCTGGAGCGAGCCACGGCTGAAGGTCTGTGCCCGTGAGGGGACCATGCTGTCCCCACGGCTGGGCTGCCTATTAACCAAGCTAGTGATAACGCCGGCGGGGCCACCCGGGGAGAGGGAGCCTTTCAAAAGCAGCTTTGTATCAACAGCTAACACATTGGCAGACAGCATCTTCATTAGCAGGAAACTCGTCAGATAATATCCTAATTGAATCAATTAAGAGTGCTGCGGGCTGCAGGGGATGCTGGGGAGAGGGGAATGTATGTGCTCAGCAGTATTCCGGGGGAAGCAGAGCTTTCAGGAAGGGCTTTGCCCAAATGAGAGCTGATGGTGTAACGCCGGAGGGATGGACCACGCAGACAGCGTAACGCCAGAGGGATGGGGCTGCTGGAGGAGCAGGGCCCCAGGTCTAACAGCCTGTATCGCTTCCCAGCCAGAATCAAACTCCAAGAAGAAAACAAGTGCCAAATGCCCATAGGTAATCAGGTGTGTCATCACTTTGCTTCTTTTCCTCTGCTTTCCACAATAAAGTGGAAAAGTTTTCCCCTTTAAAATATAAAGGTGAGACAAAAAATGTATTACTTTTCATTTAAAGCGGATTTGGTGGAAAGAAAAATGTCAGGATGAAATGGTAAACACGGCAGTCCTGCATTCCCCCAATAACGCTGAACCAGAAGGGCATGGGATTACTCCTGCAGCAAGTCCTCTGGAGCAGGGCGGGCTGTGGGATTTGCTTTAGTCAGGCTGCTCTCAAGCCCAGGCTCTCCATTTCTAAGCACTGGGGCTTGCGTGGCACGTACCAGGGCTGTAGAAGAGAACACAAATCTTTGCAAACTTCTGGAGGAGACGGTGGTTCACGTCACCGACGAGCAAGATACACCAACACGGTCTGGGGCATGATGAAATACCCAGGCGAGCAGAGCAAACTCTTCCACTCTTGCACAACACCAGGAGCCTACGTCGGAGCCAGGCCACGAGCCATAATCACAGGCATGGGGGCGAGGGAAGGTCCCCCTTCTCTTATCGACAGGATTTGCTTTGGC